TCACAGTTCACAGTCTTCAAAAAAGCAGGAAGTTATTTTAAGAATGGTTATAAAAACACCACTTGATGCCGGAAAGAAAATGTTGTACGATAGTTTAGAAATGAAGTTTTGGTCTAAAACATTTTTTAATCCAATAGAGGTACATTGTAAGGCAAAATAGTCCCCAAAGAACATATACTTTTTCAGATTTACTTTTATTTTATCATTATCAATTTTACATATAAACCTCAGAAGACACATCTACACTTTACACTTTGGATGGTAAATTAAATGCTATATTTGCACAGAATACATCAAACTCTGGTTCCAACACCACCACGGTAAAGAAATCCAAGCCTGTAGGTTTCTTTACAATTAGTCATTTCACATCAAACCATTCTGAATGACTTTGTTTACATATGAACGACTGAATTAAAGGTGCAGGATATGATTTTAATCCAATGCACTTTTTGTCAAATTCAGTAAACGTCTCCTCGCGGCCTGCTAGCTGTCCGTTCTGTGTGTGTGCTGAAAAAAAAACACAGTCTTGTCTCTGTAAATGGGAAACAAACCAAGTGTTTTGGACCAAGCTACACAACACTACTCCAGCCAATTAGCAACAGGGGGCATTCATGCTTATGCAAAGGACAGGGGTAAGAGGAGGGGCTAAGTGCTGAACTCCATGCATTGTCAGGAAGGAGAGATGGCCAGGGAAATAGCCAAAGAGGCTCTTAGATCAGGCAAGGGCATTTGGAGAGACCTCCAAGAGTTGATGAGGCTTAAGTTTGCTTCCTATTCGCATTTTCCCGTTCCACCTTAAATCATGCAGCAGTTCCATGAGGCACCTGAATGTAACTGCTGCACCATTTAAGGGAGAAAATTCAAACAAGAAACTGAGGTACCAGAATGTAACAGCTTAAGGTGGAACAGGAAAATTAGAAAAAGAAGCTGAAGCGCCGGAATGTAACCGCTGCTCCATTTAAGGTGGAACCGGAAAATTTGAACAATAAGCTGGCAAATAAGAAGCTGAATTCAGCTTCATCGAGAGTTGAAAGGTTGCTGTTTCTGCTTGACAGGTGAGTAACATTAACTTTTTTTTACAGAATCTATAGGTCGGTATTGTTTTGTCTTGTTTGCTAATGTTTGTAATATAAACTGGTTAGTTTCTCAGCACCAAGTGTAGCCACAGCTTGCAAACCTACATCCTAGCTAACATTAGTTAGTCATACTACTTGATGCCGTTGTTTGCTTTAATATTATGTCATGGTATTTATCTGTACAATGATCGCAAAGGGCTTTATGGTCACAAAGACCACAAAGGGCAGAGCTTCTGAAGGAGCACTGAAGGAGGGGTGTATTTGTTTTGTTGCTGAGTTCAAATATTAAAATCATTGTCCAGATTCATTCACTGCACCCTTAAGCAGAACAATAACTTTAACTGGACACTTAAAGATGTTGTTTTTGACACATCTGTTTTGAGGGTGTACATACAAGAAAACATCTGCATCTTTTTTTTCTATTTTTTACTCAGTACTGGTCTACTCAAACCACTACATTCAGCAGAAGTCCTAAATCACAAGCCTCCTCTATAAGGACTGCAGTCCATAAAATCATATACAGCAAGAAGTAGGACGTGTGTCAGCCACATTGCCAACGCATACACTATATACTCCAGCCAACATGTACAGAGGGCTGTTCCGCACAGAGCACTTTGTTCTGGTCCTGCTCTGTGCTGTGGTCAGAGAGGAAGAACAGAGATGGTAACACAGGCTCTCAGTTTAAATCCTCCAATGTCATACCCTTCATGTGTCCCCTATGACAGACGGCCCATAAAACCGTTTCAATAAGTTGTAAAAATGGAAATGGCGCTTGCTGGCTGGAATGGGGAAAAGAGCCGAACGTGAGATTTATTCCAAATCTTCCCAGGGGAAAAAAAGAAGAAGATATGGGTGGCAGCAGGGTTGAGATCCAGTTACACTGCACATTCTCTCTCTCCCTCTTTCTCTCTCTCTCTCTCTCTCTCTCTCACTCTCACATTCTCTGTACCTCTTTATTTCTCTTTCTACATTTTTCCTCTGTCTTCCTTCTGCTGTCTGCCTTCCTACTTCTAATCTTCTTTATTTCTTCTTTTCTATGTCTTCTCTTCCTCTCTCTTGCTCTTTATTTTCTTTCTCGATCGCCTCTTTCTCCCTAGGCCTCACTCTTTCTTTTTCTCCTCTCTCTCACTCAATTTCTCAATTTTTTCTTTTCTTTTCTTTTCTGTCATCTCCTTTCTTACTCTCTGGCTCTTTATTTTCTCTCTCTATATTTTTTCTCTTTCATATCTTTCTCTTTCTCTCCCTCCCTACTGCTCTTTATTTTCTTTCTCTCTTTATTCTTTTCTACCTGTCACTACCTTCCTTCTTCTTTCTATCTCCTCTCTTTTCCTCTCTCTCCTCTTTCTCACTCTCTTTCCTTCTCTCTGTCTCTCTCTCTCTCTTTGGTGTTTCTCTCTTTTCTTTTCCTTCTCTCTCTCTTTTCCCATTTCGGTGGCCTTTTTTAAAATTCATGGACTTTCCTTATCTCCTCTCATAGTGGTAATTATAATTCAAGAGAGTTTAGCCCCAACTGCCTGAACAAACTCAATTTGAATATGTTCATTTTCAGGTGTGGTGCGCGCACACACACACACACACACCGACACACACAGAGACACACACAGAGAGACACACACACACACACACACACACAGACACACACAGAGAGACACACACACACACACACACACACACACACACACACACACACACACAGAGACACACAGAGAGACACACACACACACACACACACACAAAATCTGCCTCATTCTACCGAACACACATGCAGGAGCCGTTTATCCTGCCATCAAACACGGCCTATGACACATTTGTCTGTCACAGTGTAACCTTAGAAAATCAAACAATGCCTATACATGCTGTAACTGGATAAATACATTCATGTGAACATTCAGCAATACCTTCCTGGTAAACATTACTAATGCAATCACGAAGCGATAAGAGAAATGAAATATGCTGCTTTTAGATTAGAGATCATTAGCGAGCTGTTATTTTCATTGTTTTATCTCAGCACTGCACGCGGGTTTGAACTGTAATTTGATATGTAAGTGGATAAGGCTGCTGTGATCTCTCGCACAGAAGGAGCTGTGTGTGTATAATAGACTTTTTTTCTCCCTGATTCTGAAGGCCAGTCAAATTTTTCTCTTTTTCCTCAACTCATGCGGGAGTCAAGCTGGGGATCGCATCCAATTGGACTGATTGAAATCCGCCGAAAAGAGAAAAGATGGCTCAGATAAAAAGCAGATTAAACAGAAAGTGTCTTCAGTGGATTAAGTCTGTGAGCTGCAATTGTTATTTTCCACTCTTAGAAAAAGCGTGCATGTGAATATTATCTTTGCAAAGCTTGCAATGCTGTTGATACAGGACTACTTAAAAAATAGTACTGCTACTGCAGTAATAACCAAACTGTACAAGCAAACATATTAGTACAGAAAATGACTCAACTTATTTACTCTAACCTATTAAAGCTACCAAGTGATTACTATGAGTTACTTTAGTCAATACTGTCCCCCAGAATGAGGGTCCAATGCTTAAAGTTTAACTGGGTTTAGCTTACCTTGACCATTAGCTCATATAACGTGAATTAGCATTCTAACACACACTCCCAACCAAACAGTTTTGATGTTAATGAAGAGCTGTTGTGGTTACTGTAGAATGACGAAACAAAAAGAAAAAATTAAAGAGCACAGTAGCAATTTAGCTAAAATGAGTTAGCCAGCCAGTTGTTTTTCCTAAGAGCTCTGAAAAATTGAAGTGAAGTTGAATACTTTATTAGAAATTCACACTCAATCATTACTTTCCATCTCTGTATAGGACTGGGAGATAGGGTAAGTTGTCTTTCTGAAAGCAATTTGTTACAATTATTCATTTGCAAATTTCCTGCAAGTCCCAAAAACTGGGAAAAAAACTGGGAAAAAACTGGGTAGTATCTGTAGCCAACAGACTACAAGGTTCACTGTTAGAAATAAAGGTTCTGTGCAGGCACAGTTTTCATTCATCAAGGTACAAACAACCTGTAAATGTTCCCTCAAAGGTACAACAGTGGTTTTAAGGTCCAATTGTGAACCTTCAATAAGTTTTTCCCAGTGGAAAAGTAGGAATTTTTATCTTTTCCTAACCTGATGTTTTAAAACAGAACAATAAAGTAAAAAGCCTGGAGACGAGACGGGGTGTGTGGAGTCAATACAACTTAGAAAATATAATTTCAGTGGATTATGGTACAGTTATGATCCCTGACTAAAGGTACTGAGAAGTACCCTTGAGGGTACCACCTCAGTGACAGGAAGGGAACCGCCCCAGTGACAGTTTCGTACTTTTATTTCTGAGAGTGTTCATTAGCACACAAGAAAACTATGTTTATATTAATCAACCAGGGAAATCTTTCAGCCACTGTACATTAAAGCGATAAATTTTCATTCATAATAAACAGGAGGTTTGAACGACAAACCCCTTCACACAAGCTGCAGCATTAGCTTTAGTGTTAGCATGGAGCTAAAAATATTCATCCTAACATTGTTCTGTATGGTTACTTCTAGTATGCCTGTTAGCAGTTTTGCCATTGAGCTCTTCGTTTGGTCTTCAACATAGTTTCATCCAAACCCTTTTCAGCTTCAGGAATGAAATAAAACTCCAACATCACTCTCCAGACAATCAGAATAGCATTCATCTAAATAAAAGTTCCCCACTAACACATGCTCACATGTTTTAGCAAAATAATTCAAATTAATTTACTGCCAGCACAGATCTCACTGCAGATTTATTTAGGGTTGAGTTTTCCTCCCGTAGAGATGGCTGTGATTAACTGAGACATGTGTCAATCATTATTTTGCAAACAGTCAATTATATTAAGTTGCTGTTTCTCTTATCCAGCATTACTGTCTTGTGAAAAGCATATTAATGGCATGGATGAGGTAGACTGCTGCTCACCTGTTACTGAGCTGTCTAGGTTGTCCATGCTGGAACCTGGCGTATGCTCAATACCCCGGAGGGGCGGAGACATCTCATAGCCTTCATCTTCTTCCTCATCATCCTCATCTTCGTCAGGCAGATCTGTCTCGATGTCAGACACGAGGGTGCTTGACATGTAGCCCACTGGAGGGGCGGGGGCCTGAGGAGGATATGGCCCACCCTGCAAGTGCCTGCACAAAATTTAATACATCAGCATGTGCACACATCCATAAACAAACATAGATTACAATACATAGGTCTAACATATGTATTAGAAATATGTAAATATCTATATGTAATCTTCTTTTTAAAAACGTCCTTTTAGGTAGGTCTGTGAACTCAGCAGCCATCTTGGCAATGCTACCGGGCAGTTATTTCCAGCCATATAAGACCAAGCTCCTATATAAGACCTAAAAACTCTAAAGGCCAAAAAAGCTAAAGGCCACATTTAAATTTTTAAAAAACATTTTTGAAACCACTGTAAAAATATGACAAATATCTTTTTGTAGATTGTAGTGCTCGGCTCAATAATGCCCCAAAAGCATGTTTTTTGGTTGCTCTGGCTACTTGCGCACATCTCCACAACTGAGCCCAAGTGTGGAGCGGGAAGACCAGGACTTCCACCGTAAGCAGACAACGTGTTACGAGTTTTCCTGTTTATGTTCCAACAAGTGACTTGTTTCTGTCTTTGTAATGTCTCTGGTATAAAACTAATTCTACTCTTGACCTCAATAACCAAAAAGAAATGGTTTTGGCCTTTCAATTTTAAAAAGACCCATATCACAGAAAACTAAAATGTGATATGTAAAAATATTTCAAAATGTACCATCCACTATCCAGTCCATACAGGCATATATGGTGACTATGCTATGGTTTGGAATTCACAGTTTCTATGATGTTGGTGCTTTTGTAAAATACGCTTTACAAAAACGGGACCATTTTCATTGTATGTTAACCTCTTAAATGGCCAGTGTCTGCTGGCGGGCCCAAAGTTTTACTACACACTTCTATAACCTAAGAATAGTTACTGAATAATAAGCCTTAGTATGTAATAATTTAGAGATTTTAAGGGTTTAACCTTGGTTTTCTCTAGTTTTCCTACAAAGTGAAGACGCATGTCCTGTAAGTGCACAAAAACACAGGCATGCAGAAACACACATTTCCATATTTGAGTAGGAGCTGAGACAGGATGTCAGTCGGAGACAAAAGGTGTCAAGCTACACAGTTAGATAAGAAAGGAACATGTGTGGGGGCAGGAGGGATCTGTCAAGCCAAATTTGTAATTCCTGGAACATTCCTTGTTTCGGATGAATCGGGACAATCCGGCTAATTCCACATTGCCGCGTTTTGCATGCTAACACAATGACCCTCTAATTGCGAGCTGAAGAGCACACAATGGTGGGCTCCACAGGCATGCCTGCACTGGGGCTGTCACCTCCTAGACAGCAAGGTCTACTGACAGGCCCAGTGTGTGCGCGTGAGCATGTCTGTGGTAGAGCGTGTGTGTGCACATGTGTGTGTTGTGCCATTTCTTTGATGTGGTCTGTGCCAGGATTTGGATATAATTATGGGCTCTTCCCTGTTGTCAAAGACGCACTCGGAGCAACGTAGTCATTACTCCAGTAACATGACGTCTCCTTCTTGACAAGTGGAGCCTATTCCTGCGAGCAGCCACTGTAATGAACGCATGCCAGTTTCTCCTCACTCTGAGACACCGTGAAGCATGTGGCTCATTTGCTTTGCATGAAAGCCATGAAAAAAAGAGATACTCAACGCACTCACTCTAAAATGCACCAGCGAACAAGTCTAAATAGGGGCTTAAGCATTAAATTCAGCACTTTGATTTTTCTCCAGGTCTAAATGGGAGAAGAAGAGGGTTTGGAAAAACAGCTGGAGGAGCATGATTAATGACAATCGCTGGAATGAATAATGTTGTGACTATGCATTTGCAAAGTGTTCCACTGTGAAGGAGTCATACATTTACAGGACATTTGTGTCAGTAACTGTCTGGTCCTTTTGGCGTGTGCATATTTCAATATAAAGCACTATTCCACATTCAGGTTTTGCACATTTTCAACAAAACCCTGGATAACACTTTAACTGGATGGTCTCCTGTTACTTACCTACAAAGACTGAACTTTTTCACAAACTATTTGGTGAAATTCATTTTAACCTAACAGTATTAAGGTTATGATTAAAACCAAGTTAGAGATGAGCCGTTTTTTTCACACTCAGAGCCTGTTATCTTATTTACATGCCTTTACTGCTAATGTTAGGGCTTTGCATTATTCAGCTTGCAGCCCAGTATGTACAGGTTCACGTTTGCCTTGACCCCTCAGCATGTGACGTCCTCTTTATGAATGGCCAACAGCTCCTTCATGTATTTTTTTCATGTGAAAACTGAAAACTCAACCAAACGAGCATTTTTTGTTGCTTCTCTCCAGCTTTATTCCACTAGAATTATACAAAATAACACCGCTGTCCAAAAAAGAAAACGTGTCTATTTTTCTACATCATTTGAACACAGCAGTTGTCCTTCACACTGTGTGGAATTTTCATTATGATTGGACCGATAAAAAAAAAAAAAAAGCTCCAAAATCACTTGGAATAAACCCTCTTCACATTGACATTGAAAGTAAAGAATGTTTTTTGGAGACACGTTTTCCTTTGGACAGCAATGATAGGCTTCCTCGATGTTTTCTACTTACTAGAACTAAAAGATAGACTGTAGAAACAACAAAAGCCATTACTCAACATCGCTCAACTTTCCCTGTAATGTATTGGCTTCTGTTCACTTCTGTTAAACTGCTATTCAAACAAAATTTATTGTAACTAAATTATAACAAGGTGAGTATCTACAAAACATCTATATTAAACCATCTTAATAAAGTGTCACCAAGCCCTGCTACGGTCACTGTATTGATTCTGCCTGGCTTACCAGGCCTGCTTGGCCATGTCCAGCTGGTAGGCCCGTGTCAGCTCGTCCAGATGGGCCTGCAGCATGGGCTGCATCTCCTCTCGGGGTGATGGGGTCAGTGTGGCTGTGGACTGCTTGCCGAAGGACACAGCCGCAGGGGAGGAGGCCACACCCCTGATGGGTGGAGTCGGTACACGCTCCTCCTCTTCTTCCAGCTCATCCTCCAGGCCCTGGTGCAGGTACGTCTGCACGGGCAGCGGAGGACCCCAGCCATCACTTTCATAACTGAGAGAGAGAGAGAGAGAGAGAGAGAGAGAAAGAGAGAAAGAGAGAGAGAGAGAGAGTAAGTAAAAGAGAGAGAGAGCGAGAGAGAGGTGTCTGATCGTCTGATCCACTTGTACCAAAGCAACACATAATAACATGCTGCCGCCACCACCATGTCAGTGTCACTGCAGTGCTGAGAATGGTACACCACCCACATAATACCTCCTCTGTGGTGGTCCTGTGGGGGTCCTGATCACTGAACAACAGGGTGAAAGTGGGCTAAGTTTAAAATATGCAGAGAAACAGATGAACTACAGTCTGTAATGGTAGAACAACAATGTGCACCTATATGGTAAGTGGAGCTAATAAAATGAACAAAGAGCGTAGATACAAGGAAGTGGCCTTTCGGTGTACATGTGTTAATAGGATGCTCTCGAAGTGGGCTCCTGGGGTTTCCTCCTACAATAAGCGTAAAAGTGACTCCAAACTAGTAGCTCCCTATTGCGGAGAATCTTCAGCTTGCTTTTTGTAAATGAGTAATAGAGAAAGTGAGCTACAATTCAAGCCTAAGAGGTGCTTCAACATCTAGGCTTAGTTATAAAATAAATTAATTTAGGCTTCTTAAGTTAGCACACTGTAAAGATCTGATGTCTTCATATTTCATTTGGCAGCTGAGAGCAAACAAGTCCATGCCATTTAGAGCTTTTTTTCCCTTCCCTCTTATTTGGGCTGTGCCAGCAGAGTGACTGTGGCTTGGCTTTCCCAGCACTCGGCTTCTACACGCTGAAATAATACTCATCATAAAGCCAATGTTCATTAAAGAAATTTGTCAGTGCACAGCCCAGAGGACATAACAGTTTTAATCTGAAACCATTAAAGACAGTACTAAGATTTACAGTGCAGAAGAGTCCTCATTTGCCAGAGAGCCTATTAAGCTAGATGACTCTCCGAGATGGAAATTAATGGGGTTGAAAGGCAAGCACACCTCTCAAGCAAGAGACTTAATTTGTAATACCACCTTCTTGTTTTTTTTCTGGTAGTGTACAGACACCCTGTGCCCATAACACAACAGGACAGAATGCTGACATTGAGGCAAAAGCTGTTAAAGCTGCTGCTTGGATGTCAAATTATTTGTCACTGTTTGCCTAATATTTTTGTATGTATTAATAGTGTTGCCCTAAGCAAAAACCCTTTCAATCAAGCTCCCAGTGAATTTCTGAGATAAATATAGGCCATTATGTATGATAGAACATGCTGTGTATGCAAATAATAAAATACTTATAAATATAATAAACCTGCAGGTAAAACACATCATTCAGTTGCACAGCATTTTTCTACATATATGAATTTGCCCTTTCTGAACTAAGTAGTTAAAGATATGCTGGTCGTAGCTCAGCATTCTGACACGCTTTACACAAAGGGGCCCTGACATAGCAGCAATCTGTCAACTCTGCTGCTCTTTACATGTCAACCCTTACAAGTCACAGTTATTACCAGCAGATACCAAAGCATGCTGTAATTTTATATTAATTGCTTGTCAAATGAAATTCTGTCAAATAGAAAGAAATTAAAACGGAAATAAATTCTGTCAAAAATGTGGATTCTGACCTTTTAATCAAAACCACATTAATGTTTGTAACTATGAAAGGAGACACTCTATTATGATTTGCATTTGATGTAAAGTTATTGTTGATTTTTCTGGAAAGAAAATAACATTTTATATACATGTGCATGAAATGAATGTAAAGGTAACCATGTTCCCATGTAATTTACCAAGTAACCATAAAAATAAATTAATTACATATAAATAATCATGACGTGTTGTACGTTGAATATACAGCAGAAAGCACAACTCTAAGAATTCTAATAGTTAAACATGACTGTCATTGAGAATAAAAGACCAAATTGCTCTCTCAGTCTTACCCTCCTCCTTCGTGGTGCTCTGTGGGATAGTGTTCCAGCTCTGTGCCTGGCAGAGGATGGATAGGAGGGGGTGGTAAGGGGACGTTTGCCCAGTTGGAGCCATTGGCCTTGGTGGGCTTGGCCCCTGCTTTGGTCTTTTTCTTCTTTCCTCCTTTCCCACCTAAAGCACAGTGGAGTTAACAATAAAAAAACAGATTAGAGGAACTGCATGGATCTTCAATAGAACAAAGCCTCCCAAGGCTAACTGAAAGTTTCAGGCACAGTTGAAAGTCAAATCGCTCAAATTTCATCATTTGTGCATCTGATGACCATGAAATATCTTTTTTTCTCTCTCTGCTAGTTTATCTGCTGCACTTCAAGGTGCTGCTGCTGCTGCTGCCACAATAGCACTCTCAAGGCCAAAGCATGAAAAGCAGGCTTCAGAGCGAGTGATTGGACTCTGAGGTTTCAAGGCTCTGCGGAGACGAGAGACAAATGGCCGGACGCCGTTCTCTCCTCCTCTCCTCCGTCAATACCTCCCATGAAACCAGGGTGAAATATGTCTGCCTTCAGCACATCATCTCCATCTGCTGCTCTAATGGAAGTCTGTGGGAGCGTATTTCATTTTCCTTTCCTTCATAACAACAGCCAGCGAGAGACTGAGGGCCAGTGAGAAAGGGAAGGTGAATAAAGTGAAGGGTGGAGACAGGAAAGCTAAACTGAACTTTAGTGATGTTTATTTTACAACAGAATTTCATCATGTTATCTGAGCTCTGCAAGGCACTGGAGAAAATCAATAATGACTACTGACTAATCACAAACTCCAGTCTACCACCTTGGTTTAAAACACGAGCATTGTATCAGAAAAATGCAAGTTACAGAGTGTCTGTAAATAAGGTATAGTATGGATTTAGGATAAAAGGCTTTTTAAATTGTCCATTCTATTGATTCTATTCTAGATTTTTCTTTGTTTTTTGAAGTAAAAAAAAAAAAAGACTTGATAGAATTTAATCATTCTCATGTAATGTAAACATACCCAAAGCTTTAAATTCTATCCATTTTCCTGTCCATATAGCCTAGACTTGTTGAATTCATTGTTTCTGTGACATACAAAAGCTAATTATAATTTGCATATATCCAACTATTCACTTACAGAAGTTTAGCCCCAACTGTTCATACAGAGGTTATAGAGTTTCAGCACTCACTGCTTTTTGAATGAAGCACAATCAGAAAAGAGCTCATTTACAAGTCTTAAAGGCACATTAACAAAACGTGCCCACGTAATTCCAAGGGATAAAGAGAGGTTGGAAAATGGTAATCTAAAAATAAATTATGACTGTTTTTGGAACATAAACCCACAAAAGTTGACCTTAGGGAAAAAAATGAAAACAAAAAAAACACAAAAAACAGAAGGAAAATGTGTAATTTGGGCCCTTTAACTACATGACAGGTACCTTTGAAATGAATTCTCATTTAATATTGTTCTGATCATGATAAGATTATAGCACCGACATGAACAATCCATGACATGGCTCCCACCAGTCAGTCATCACAGCTGTTTCACTAGCCTTCTGGACATCTGGGCTCTGAGAGCTGATGTATGTGCCTTTCCCTTTGGGCCGGCTGCAGAGGTGGCAGGATTCATTAGACTAAATTATTAACGCTGGCATTGGCACACTCCACATGACCAGTTAACTCTGCATGTTGCCAGATCCTCCTGTGGCTCTAGCCAGGCGTAAAATAGCTTGCGCTGACGTAGCCAGATACCCGGCCAAATGCAAAGTGGAAAAAAAAAAATCCCTCACTGGCAGCACAGCCACTGTATGGAAGCCTATCTGTCATCTTCTGTCTCTTTCTGCCAATGGCCTATAATTGCCCCTGCTGCCTAAAAATGTTCGGTTTGGGGCAATGCTGCACCCTGCGGTCTGCACCATTGTGTCATCAAATAGGATGCCAGCACATTGACATGGCTATAAATTAACTCCAAAAGTCCTCAAAGAGCCAGTTTTGTTCCAAATTTATTCCAATGTTCAAAGGCTTTTCTGAGCCTTGCAATGAAAAGAAAATCTGCTTCATTGCTCCAACTGAGGCGAGGCAAGCGAGAGAGAGAGTGGGAGGGAGGGAAGAGAGGCAGAGATGAGGGGTGGAGACAAAAAGAGGGGTGAAGAGAAAGAAGGCGAGAGAGAAAGAAGGGGTAGAGAGAGAAATAGAGGGATATAGAGGATCAGAGCCAGTGAAATAGTGAAATAGAAGTAGAGGGAGGGGGCTAGAGAGAGAGAAAGAAGGAAGAGAGGGTTGAGAAGGAGATGAACAGAGGGAAGACGAAAGAGGAAAACGGGAGAGAGAGAAGGGAGGAGGATAGAGAAACAGTGAGGGACAAAAAGAGTAAAAAAGAGAGATGGGGTGAAGGAAAAGAGAGCAAGAGAGAGAGATAGACTGCAAGGTAGAGAGAAATAGGTGGATGGAGAGAGTGAAAGAGAGGTGGAGAAAGATGGATGGAACGTGAGACGAAGAGAGAGACAGAAAAGAGAGAGAGTGGAGTAGAGAACATCAGAGGGAGGGAAGTGGAGTATGGAGAGAGAGAGGGGGGAGGGAGGGAGAGAGAGAGAGAGAGCGAGAGAGAGAGAGAGAGACACTGTATGGTCTGTATGTAAGAAAGGGCAGATTTGTCATGCGGTCTGTGATGTTTATGACACTGTGGGCTGTGTGGCTGTTAGAGCAGCACTGTTGTCGGAGGCTCTTGTGGCCGTCAGAGCACTATTGTTCCACAGGCATTAGGGCTGGGTCGGAGGGATAGAGGTGTCAAACGAAGATGAATAAAGCACGCGAGTAATAAAAAAATAACAACAGGCCGGGGGCTGGAGTGGCAGCAGTGGAAGTGGAAGTGGGGGAAGTAATTGGGTTTCCTAATCGTTCCTCTGGGCGACACTTCAGCTTCGGCCAATAAACGGAGAGATGGCGTGATCGCTCAATCACTCCCTCACTTCCTCTCTCTCTCTCTGCTGAAGAGAGGGCATCAATATTGTAAACGGTGCTCCGCTGAGGAGCTCGGACTGTCCCTGAAATTACAGCTGTCTGAAGAGGAAGAGGAAGATGATGCTGGCTGAGAGCAAACGGGCCAAACAGTTACTAGCCAGACAGCAGCAGGGTGCTGTTCAGAGTCAAGGCCAAAGCCGTGTAGAAGGACAATCACAGTACTATGCAAAAGTCTTTGGTCACATGAGAAAACAATATTTAACCCTGTAAAGGGGAATTTCACCAATTTGTCAAAATGTCTGTATAATTACATTGAGGTATAAACAAAGTCATTCAGAGTGGTGTGATGTGACATGGTGCACTTTAGAGGATCTTACTAGGAACCAGGGGTTGTGATGTCTATCTGGAAAGTAAAATCAGATCTTATCTTGTCACACTGGGGACATATTTTAAGGAAATGCAGAAGAGAAAAAATGGAATACTTTGATATACAAGCTCACAGAGCAGGGCTGCCCAAAGTGTGGCACATGGTTAAAACCTGGCCAATGAGGATGTTGAATTAGGCTCCCAGAAATGTACCCTAAACCCCAACCCCACACTCAACAGATGAACAAACTGTATACCATATACAATATAATACATTCTTATATTCATTTTTACGATTGTGTTTTTGAAGCACTTTAATAATAAAGCAGAGCATCAAGTTATAAAATACACTTTGAAATCTGAATTTAAAGCCCACCTTCCTTCTTTATTTGTACAATGTTTTGTCTCTTTGGCCCTCAGCCGACCACAAACATTGCACTTTGGCCACCCATGAGAAAATATTTGGTCATCCCTATCATGGAATATAATTCTTTAATGCTTCTTTGGATTTATTCCACTGGTGTATAGTGGTTTTACAAGCAATAACACACTTACTGACCTTACTGTTTTAAACTAGCTCTGACAGAATGGCAGCTTTGCTTGGTGTGATTGGGAGTGAAGCGTGAAGCTGGGTTTTATTAGCTGAGCTGAGGTGAGGTGAATACACTCAGGAGAGCATATGTAAAAGGCAGTGGCCTACTTGAGACATTTCAGGGAACATATGACTCTTCAATGGTGAACCAGAATCGTTTTTTCCATTAAAAAAAAAAAAGGTAAAATTTCATGCATTTTAAAGGAGGTCTTGAGTCTCAACACATGCGTACACACAGAACAGCAGCATATGCCCTCTTTCCCTCTGCTCTATTCTAATGAGCACCCCTCTGTACCCTATTGAGGATTGTTCTGCATCCATCACTCTTCACCTGCCCTATGTTCCTTCTTTTTCTTGCCTCTTTCTGACACTTTCATTTATTCCACCTTTTCTGCTTCTCTCAGACGGCCGTGACTCACTCTTTCAACTCCATGCCCCACTTACTGACAATTTTCTGCTTTCAGACAAAGTACATTTGCGCAGATTTATTCCGTTTCTGTATTTCCTCTGAGCAACAAAAGCTTCATTACAAATGCCATATTGCTCACAAACACTAAAAACTCGTATTATTATGCAAAGGCTTATGTAAGCTGTTCAAATAGGAGTTCAAAAACTTACAAAAACTGAATCTTACAGGAATGTTCCAGCATTTTTCAATCTAATCTCTATCTTCTGCATTTGCAGCATACAGTCGATTACCAACGACGATAGTTCAGAACAACGAAGACTGTTGACTGCTGATATATTTATAACAGAAGCTAATGGGCAGCTGCTTCAGCGCCTGGCCATTGGCTTCTGTTGTAACTGTGCTACAAGTCAACAAGTTTTCAGTTCTTTTCCAAGTGCAAGGGATTAACTGTGAAGTAGTCAAATGTAAATTACAGATGCTGCTGACAGAGATTAGACTGAGAAATGCTGGCGCTTTCCTATAATGCTCATGTGCACATACTTACACATCTTTACTTGTGATGGTTTGGCTATATGACAGGGCTTTAAAAGGTCAAATGAGGTTGAATGCAGTACCCTCTTAACATACTTAGCAAAGATGACATGAAGGGGATCTGCACTTTTGAAACATTGGTCATTATGGCTACAGCAGAAAGCAGATTTTCTGCCTGAGAGCTATAACCTACTGCTGACATCACTTACTGTGCTGCCTTATCGAAATTTAGTCTACTGGCACAACGCAGCTCCAATTAAAATTCTGCTCAGTAGGAATTTGTTCGACCGCATATCTTCTAATTATTTGAGATAGCAAGGTAAAATATCCTGGGGCGTACAAATTGAGCGCACATGTTAGCTTGGGAAACAATCAAGATCAACTTGCCCTATGGCCTCTCTCTTTGTAAATGCAAATGCATGCCTTCTTTATCCTCTCCATCTAGTTGTTTTCAACCCCACAGCACACACACTCTCTCTCTTTCTTTCCCCAAGCTGAGTGAAACATGAGGAGATTTTCTGCTCATGCTTCCACACTAAATGGACTAAATTGGTTCTCCTGAGGCACAAATACTTGTTTCAATTTTGCTGCTTGTAACAGAATACAGTAAAATATATTTTGCAATTCCTTTGCATCTACTTTCAGATATCTTTTCTCTAGGACATACTACTAATTACAATATAGAATGATTCATGCTACTGTTATATTCAGAGGATTGTTATTCATGAGGTGCTGAGTATGATGTATGTATCTAAACTGGTCTGGTGAAATTCCACTCATTTAACTGAGTTAAACATCCATCCATCCATCCATCATCTAAACCGCTTATCCTTCTGGGTCGCGGTACTGAGTTAAACATAATTCAGCAAAAAAATAATGTTTTTTTTTATTTCCTGTATTTGGTTTCTTATGGCTAGGACACAAGCTTTCCTCAGAGATACACTATATGTACAAACGTATTGGGACACCTACACATTACACATACAGGAGCTTTTATGACATCCCATTCTAAATCTATAGGCATTAATTTGGAGTTGGTCCCCCTTTGCAGCTATAACAGCTTCCACTCTTCTGGGAAGCTTTCTATAAGATTTTGGAGTGTCTGTGGGAATTTTTACCCATTTATCCAGAAGAGCATTTGTGAGGTCAGACACTGATGTTGGACGAGAGGGCCTGGCTCACAATCTCCGTTCTAGTTCATCCCAAAGATGTGCGAAAGGGCTTGAGGTCAGGACTCTGTGAGGGTCAGTCAAGTTCTTCCACACCAAACTCACCCAGCCATGACTTTATGGACCTTGCTTTGTGCACTGGGGCTCAGTCATGCTGGAACAGAAAAGGGTCTTCCCCAAACTGTTCCTAGTTAGAAGCACACAATTGTCCAAAATGTCTTGGTTTGCTGAAGCATTATTTCTCCTCACTGGAACTAAGGGGTCCAGACCAACCCCTGAAAAACAACTCCATAGCTTTATCCCTCCTCCACCAAACTTTATAGTTGGCACAATGCAGTCAGGCAGGTAAGACTCTCCTGGCAGTCGTCAAACCCAGAATCATCCATCAGACTGCCAGATAGAGAAGCATGATTCATCACTCCACAGAATATGTTTCCACTGCTCCAGAGTCCAGTGGTGGAGTGCTTTACACACACATAGCTCTGGTACAAAACCAAAGAAGAAACTTTGGGCACTAAACATGTCTTAGCTGATTGATTACATTTAGGGTGAGGAGAAAATTGTGTAAATTTAAATTTTAACTGCACTATTCCTTTACGTCAGGCTTGGATTCAAGTTTTGTCAGTTTTGCCTTTTCTAGAAATGGAGATAAATGCAGCTCTTTGTTTGGAGTGGTTGGAATCCACTTTTGAGTCCTAACTGGAGCATCTCAGGATGAGGCAGACCCTGAGATCCTACCATATTCACCCCAACTCTAACGACTGCCTCTGCCTCTGATAATAGAATAGGCTAAAATCAGCTACTGCCTTCGATTACAGCGCAGTTAAGGCCCAGCTTGTGATTTGAGTAAAAGCAGCAGAGCGAGAGGGAGGGAGAGAGATGGAGTAAGGAAGATGGAGAGAGGAGGATGAGGGGCCGCCTTTGCGTCCTATAAATGACATTGTAATACTCGGTACATGAGTTTTACTGAAGACAGTAACCACTAGAGGAAGAGGGGAAGATTGGATAGTCAATTCAGCTCAAGTGAATTTGTGTGTGTGTGTGTGTGTGTGAGTGTGTGTGTGTGCGTGTGTGTGTGTGCGTGTGTGTGTATCATGCTGGTTAATGTATACTGGATAACGAATTATGAAACCATCATTTCAGTTCCAAAAGACGTCTTTAAAAAAGAATACTTGACAATCAGAGGAACAGTTAGATTTCCACAGATGCAACTAATACGCAGTGTTTTGGTTAAAGCAGTTCCTGCAGTGTAATCTCTACCCCACTTGACTCCATGTGCAGTGAGCAAAGTGGTGGACAGAAGTGAAAGCGTCAGTGGTGCAAGCAGAGGACAGTGTTAATACATACTTCCTTTAGGGCTGAGCTCACTTGCAATGGAGTTAATCCAGTTCACATGCAGGCAGTTAATCAATCAGTAAACTGATCAATGAATCAATGGATCAAAGGACCATTATTGAATCAATTATACAAGCCAATCAGATGTCAAATGTTGACTTTTAGTCCTCAAATTATAACAGTACCTCTCTAGTTCTTGTGTTTACAGTTTTGGTAACATCTTTCCAATTGTTTTTCCAAGAGTTTCATGAACTGATCTTCCCATGCTCCACCCCCAGAGTTCATAGCAACTGCTGCTAAGTTGGACAAGCTTTACATTACATTACCCCAAGCAACCTACAAGCAACCTATAATTCAAACTCTGTCTAATGTTTTCTATTAAAAATGCGATGCCAACAAGTTGGACAATACTGAATAGATACTAGTGCTGTCAAAGTGAATAAATTTATAACGTGTTAACATGAAAACTATGCTGCTTGTGCATATGCTGCTATGATAGAAAGCGCAATTATAGGCTCCTTATTCAAATGATGGAAACTGGAAACTGTGTTCAACTTAGGGAAAATTGTGAAGGTTAATTTATAACAAAAGGCAGTGCTTTTGAAATGGAGAAAACTTTCTTTTGGTTCAAATTTGACCGTATAAGACAAATGTGATTAACTGCACAAAACACGACTGACAGCGATTATTTCTTTTAATCATTTAACAGTCCTAATGGCAAAATTAGGCAGGTTGGAAACTACAATGATCAATTTGCCACTATCCTAACATTAGCTTTATTACATGCCAAAAAAAGCCTTAACATCATGGCCTTTTAAACCCAAACAGAGTAAATATCATTTGAACGTAATAACACACTCTAAATGTATGTTTTTCTCTAGACAGTGAACTATGCACTGCAATTTCTCATTAAGTTGGACTGGATTTTTCAACATTCTGTAAAGCTTGTATAACCTTTAATAGTAGAATATATATGCGGGTGGAGCGTGGATAAAGCGATCAAGTTCTGCTGCAATTGAAAAGTACATACATACCTTGGAGCTCCGCCTCCTAAATATCAAAATACTAATGCTCTGAGAGCCAATAAAGGGTTCCCCCTTGTCTATGATTGGAACCATATCCATGCTGAAACACACAGTATACATGCAAAAGGCAATAAACTCTGTCCACTTATAGGGAACTCTTACACCAAGAACATACTGCAAGACATTTGGGTGGACCTGCTGTTCAGGAAAAGCCAGTGTTGGGGTAAGAAGCTGAAGCTGGTAGAGCTTGAGGGGGGTGGTTGGGGAGGGGGTGACTACAGCCCCTGAGCCAGTGGGATACCAACCTGACAGACTGCCGCTCCGCTCTGAGCTGTTGTGTGAGCTGGTGGTGCTGAAATCCTGTGATTGGTTGTGGGGCATTCTATTAGACAATCCATCAGCCAATCGGTAGTCAGGAATGAAAAGGAGTGCTAGTGGGGTCGAAGGGCAAAAATAGTGGCATCAGGTGAGAGGCAAGACTAGCATAAGCGCATGCAGAAACGTGCGGTTAGAGCGACAGGCCAGTGCTCCACACACCCACACACAAACACACACACACCCGTTCAGCTCTTAGCTTGCCTTCAGCATTTACAAATTCGCCCTTAATAAATAGCAATTACTTTATTTCTAAATGACATTAAGCTACTATAAGATTCTTTCCCTTTGACTCTATACAGTGACAGACTTATCTTATTTAGTCATAGATAACAGTATTCAAAGTGTCTTCAGAGGAGTTCTATTAACTGCTCAATTAAATTAATTAGCAAAACATTTATACACCCAATATACATTAAAGACCCCCGTAGAACAGAGAGATATTTATAAAACAGCAGAACAAGATATTCAGTCTTTTTTAGCCATATTAGGTATGAATAAAGTACTTCATGCATTTTTTAAAAGTCATCCAAGGTCAGATCCTGACTTTTATGTACGAGTAGCGTATGAAAGGTGCTATTTAAATAAACTTTCCTTGCATTGCCTTTATATACTGGAGTATGTTTAAATACTAATACTTTTTGACTATGATTTAAGTATATTTTTGGCTCCATATTTCCACTTTTTGAGTAGGATTTTGATGCAGTACCCAGACTTTCATTTAAGCACAATTTCTGCACTCCTTTACTTTTTTAAGTACTTGTTTCAGCCCTGGTAGCTAATGACTTAAACTGTGCACAGGGCAGCCTACTAACTGCGTGCTTTAGTCTGTGGTTTATTAGGTGCAGTGGAGTAAACAAACAAACTTATTTCTTAACAAAACATTCTAGAAAGGGGTAATGCTACTTCAGCTAAAATAAATACATAAATGTAAGACTTTGGGAAACAGTAACACAGATTGAGAGTTCATATTGTGGGTGCATCAATATACATTTTGCATTGCATCATCACATATACAGTTGTATCCACAAGTTTAGGTGCCCCAGGTCAAATTAATTTTTTTTTTCCTAAGTGAAAATAAGTTGCACATCCTCTACAGAGAACACGTTTAATATACACTTACTGTTTATTTGCTGAATTTGATATACTGGAAAAAATAAAACATAAAATGTGGCTTGTGCAAAAGTTATGGTAAAGTTTATGTTTTATTTTTTCAACTATGTTAAACAAAAGCAAATAAATAAAAATTGTGCATCAAAATGTGCAGAACAAAATGCCATATGTAGGTGTGTTACCTGTAGAGAACCTTATTTTCACTCTGAAAACCAACAAAACATGTAATATGATCAGGGATTTCAAATACAATTTTGCTTGCGACTGTATGTCACACTTATCCTCGCAGTTTAAACAGCGTTTCGTGGCTAGCAAATATTCAGTTGCCCTAAAATACATATTTCCTCCCCTCTACATCTGAAATGTTACCACTATCAAGCGAGGGCCAAATTAGCATAAAAACAAAAGCTAAACTTTAAATTGGAAACCGTCTCCAGAGAGATAAATTGGCCTCATTTCCAAAGACTGATTAGATTACATTGAAACACAGATAATAAAGACTGTCACAGCGCAGTGTCTCACATACATACACACACACACACACACACACACACACACACACACACACTCCTCAATACAAAACTGAACATACAGAAACAAAGACACTCACACAATTATGACACAAAAATAAACAAACACTCTAAACAAACCCCCTGTCCTCCACTCACTGTTGTTGCAGGAGTTTTTGTCAGGCAGAGAGTAGCCCAGGTTGGCCATCTCCTGCTTGGCCTGCAGTGAAGTCTTCCACTGGGAGTCGGGCAGGTCCACAGCCAGTTCGTGGATGCTGCTGGAGTGGAGGATCTGCGTGGTGGCGTATGGCGTGGCCTGTGAGGCCGGGCTGGGGCTGCTGAAGCCCGCTTTAGTGGTGAAGTCGATGCTGCTGTAGATGGCTCCATCAGACAGCATGGTGCCTGTTTTATCAGGCTGAGCGGTGGGCATCACGTCTGCAGGAGAGAAAGAGGGAGAGAGGGATGAAAAGAGAGAGAGTGAGATGTAGTTGGTAGTAGAACAAATAGTGGGGGCTCTTATGTCTTCAAATAATGTAATATTTTCTCTGTTTAATATTTTGCCAGTCTTCTACAGAGCCTGAGTCATATGAAGATTGTCACTGATACTGATTTACAGAAAATTCTGATAACTGATAATATTGGCCAGTACAAAAACTAAGCAGACTCCAACAGTTTTGGTTAAACAGTGTTTATCAGGCTGATATGATTGTCAAAATGACCACTCTGCAAACTGTAAAACGCTAAACTTAGATAAACAGCATAACAAAGGCTTAAATAACAAACAACCATAAAATAGGTCACTTAATTAATCACATAAATTACAACTTAATAACTTTAACAATAACTTTAATATTTTTAACATCTCTTTTACTCTTCTACCTCTCTTCTAAAAGAGGAAGAACGCTGCCACTTTGCATGTGCATGTGTGCGAGTGTGTGCGTCTGCAGGCCCACTGAAGGGGAGATGATGTACAGTCATGGCGGAAGCGCCTGCATCTGTGCCGCTCAAGCTGTGCCTGTCCTTCATGACTCGCTGCCCACCCAGGGACCAGCTTTTTCTTTTCTCCCTCTCTCTCTGAGCTATGGTGGAGGACAGTGGGTCAGAACGCTCTCCATTACTCTCTGGTTGACAACACATGCAGGGTGGATGGATGGCACTGTCTAAACGCTGTGATGTATAAATGTGTATTCAGACATAAGCATGCCATATGCATACAGGTATACATCTTGCTACTCAGAAAAGCGAGAGAGAACATGAGTCATTCTGTGGGTACAGAGCGAGAATACAATAGACTACTGCAGTATATACCGGAGTGTCTTATGGATGAGCTGGATTTCACTGCAGTGCCTTTATTACAGCTTCTTAAGCTCCAGTCACAGCGGCAGTGCGATTTAAACATGCTTAACCCTTTAATGCGTTGGTGTTTTCCAGCTGTACCTTTGTATGTATCTAACTCAAACTGAACTACACACTGCCATCATAGTCTAAAATGGTCTTCCTCAATGATTTCAGTGTTTAATACTTCATATACTGCTCTACTGTTCACTCGTACTGTTTTATAATCATTTTCGCATAATGTGTGTTTATGGTTCTGTCTGTCTATTGCATGTTCTCGCCCATGTGTCTCGTCTGTCGTCCGTTGTTGGCTGGCGTTTTTTTGTTTTTTACTTAATCCCTGTTGTTAGTACTTTGACTGTTGTCATTGTTAATACAACTGTACAAAATAAGACAAAATATATTATAATATTTTCATTTTTTGTTGGTCATTTATCAGAAAAAAATGGATGTGGTACAGAGGGGGAAATGAGCTACTAATCTGAGGTATGTATTTGAAGGCCAACTCAAGTTGAATGAGTCTATTTATATTCATTTCTTCTTAGTTCACCACTGTTTAACTTGTGGACAGAAGATACAGTGAGGGCAGCAGAATCACCTCCACGGCCACTGAAGTTGCTGAGGTCATTGGGTCCTGCAGAGCCGCTGTTGACGGGCATACTAGTGGCTGGCCAGGAGTCAGCCAGCCAAGGATAACCTGCATCACCAGCATTCAGTAGACCAGGACGACTAAAAAGAGAGAGATAGAGAGAGAGAGCGAGAGAGAGAGAGATAGCGAGAGAGAGAGAGAGTGTTGCTGTTACCTTTCAATTACACATAAATACAAAGTTTTCTGTGTATATTTAACACAGAACATCTAATATTTAATATGTATTATAATACCTTTAGGTATATTAGGCATATTCAGGCATACATTACTTCTAATGAACACTTTAGCACTCAGCTTCATGTTCATTATAGTGTCTTCCTTGGTATGAAGAGCAGGTTTCACCTAAATAATTTAGTTTTCTTTTCCATTTATTGTTAAAGGCACAGCCTGCAGCTCTTTTGTGCCAAAGGTGGTTTAAACACCTGAATGGTTTGAGTGCTGATGAGCGCTGACACCACAACAAGACGATAAAATGTGAGGTGATGACATTATTCTCCAGGTAGGGCTTTTATCAGCTGTTCTTTCAGTTTTACAGTTGTTCTGAAGAAAAATGGCCAGATCTACAACAGTTTTCTATGTAGTATGTTGAGTTATGGCAAAGTGGCTGAAAATTTTGTGGCTGTTGGAATAAAACTTTACAGGAGATGGAAAAGACATTCTTAATTTGTAATGCAAGTTAGTGCAACATTTTATTCAAGGTAATTTTGGACCATTTCGAATGGTCTGTTTATCAAGAAATTACACAAGGCAAAGGGTAACTGGATGTGCAAAGGGAAGCGGGAAGGCGGTGCCCGAACCCCATGAGCCAGCGACAGCTGAAAGTGGTGACAGGAAGGCAGTGCCTGAGCCCCATGAGCCAGTGACAGCTGTGAGTGGTGAAGGGAAGGTGGTGCTTGAACCCCATGAGCCAATGACAGCTGTGAGTGACAGCAAGAGGAGGAGCTCACTTGTGAGAGAGATCGGGAAGACAATGACAGACACAAGAGACGTGAGGACAGCTCCCAGGCTTCAGGCACTGCCTTCCCACCACCTACCATGGCTGTCTTTGGTGCCCGTGGGTCGGGCGTCTGGCACACTGAACTTTAAAAAAAAAAAACAACCAAAATAAAGGTACAAAGCTTCTGTGTGACTGTAAAAATATGCTAATTTATGGAAAACGTTTATAAAAACTGGCTGTCCCCAAAACTTTTGAGAAGCATGAGCGTTTAATACACCTATAATAAACTACACAGTGACAGACATGGGGAAGTTATGAAAGTAACTCTAACCTGTTCGCTCAGGGAGATGAGGCTGTGAGGGAAGAAAGCTAGTCGCTCAGTGGGCTTTGACTGTGTTTTAAATATGAAAATATGGTGACAGCATCACACAAAATAGAGAAATAATGAATCAATGAGATGACAGGAGTCTACAGGGAGTCCAAATAAAGACATGAAGGAGAACATATGGCTGTGTGTGCGTGTGTGCATGCATGTGATAAGCGAGTTATTAAGCTTAAAACACTAATGAGAGCTATCTGTGTTCTGCATTCCTGATGACGCCAGGGAGTATGTGTGTGTGTACTGTTCACGTCTTTTTTTCAGTGCCCCCCTCTCTTTCCTTTTTGCCATTTGAGCCAGTGAACATGTTGGCGGTAACTTGGTACAAAGTAAAAGTCCACTAAGAGCAACAGTATATACTGTTAGAAGAAAAGGTTCTGAGGGGGTGAAACAAGTTTTTTCCAGGTGAAAAGTACGTAAACCTTATGTTTTAAAACCAAACAATAAAATAAAAATCCTGGAGATGAGTGCAAACTCAGCAAACAATACGTTGAAGTATCCAATAATGCTGATATGAAACTGATGGATGCAGATCTTTGTGACGAAGAGAGATTCTCAATTTTTCATGCAGAAACAGCTTGATAAACTACATTTTGTTCACAAAGATTTAATTTCAAAGCAGCTTAAGCTGAACAATTTCTACTGGCTAGTTTCTCTGTATTCAAATCTTGTCCCAAGCGCATTGTTGTCAACAATGCTATCATCCCATTACAGTCTGAGAGAAGTAATTAGCAGTTTGTAATGGATTACTTTTTTGGGTTTTTTTTTTTTTCCCTGAATTTTCTCCCCAATTTAGTCGTTTACAATTTCACCCACTAGTTAGGACTCCCCCAATCACACGATACCACCAGCACTAGGAGGGCGAAGGCTAACACAGGCTTCCTCCGAGACCTGTGAAGCGCCACTGCATCTTTTCAAACTGCTGCTGACGCAACATCATTGGACAGCTGAGCGCGCTCGGAGGGAAGTGCCAACCGCCAGATCTGTTACGTCAGCTAACAGACGCCTGTGTTGAGCTGCATCGCGTTGAGTGATGGGGGGAGAAGGGTGGGGCATCGTACCCACCGAGAGAGCAAGGCCAATTGTGCTCTCTTGGACTCCTGATGATAGGGCCAACACTTAGACGGTTGCGCCACTTGGGATCTCTGTAATGGATTACTTTTTTGAGTAGCTACTCCAACACTGATGAACATTAGAACTGGAATGGTCTTTTGATTTTGCACACGAACACACACACACACACACACACACACACACACACACACACACACACCCACACCAAATAGTGGTGCTGTATCTCAGGGGCACTCCCTAAATATCACTTTTTGCACCATTGCTCTCCACCCTACACTAGTTTCTCACCATTATATCCTACACAGAGAGAAAAAGTGTGTGTGCGTGTGTGTGTGTGTGTGTGTGTGTGTGTGTGTAGGGGGTTTCATTTAACAGGTGTTGTGCCTCTCCCCAGCGGTGTATGTTTTATAAAGGCCATCATTAAGGCTTTAACCTGTCATGGGTGAATGCTGGGGGGCCATTAGGGCCACTTTACTGTACGCTCACGTCCTCAGAGCTTGTTACCATGGGCAACACACACACCCGCACACACTCTCTCTCTCTCACACACACACACACACACACACAAACTGACTCAACCTGTCTGCTTTTCCTCCTTTAATTTCTGTTCTGATTTGAATGACTCTCAATGTAAAAATGGCTGATGAAATAGCGGATGGAGAGAATAAGTGGAAATAGAAAAACAGAGATAGAAGGAGCACAGAGAAAGAGATAGAAAGGTGAGGGGTGAAGAGAGGAAGGGAGAGAGACTGAGAGGGGTAGAAATAGAGACAGAAAGACAGAAATAAAGGGACAGAAAGGATTAGAGAGAAAGAGAGATGGGGGTCCAGAAAGAGAAATAAAGGAATAAAGAGTGGTTAGAGGGAAGGATAGAGAAGGGGGGGCTGTTCAAGGCCCTCACACTTTTATAAAGAAGTAAGCTGTTCACAAGTAAATCCAAATAAACATTCAGACAATCAATTAATGCTTATACATATTATATTATATTTAATGAACCAATGCTATGAATGTCAGTTTTCTGCCTGTCAGTGTGTTTGTTAGCCTAAACATTTCCAAACCTCTTCACTCAGTAAGTTATACTGCATTAAGTTTAATCATTTATTTATAAATTGAATGAATTCATGCAATTGCTCGGGTTTAGCTAGAAGAAGCAAAACCAAACATGTTTTCTTCTAACAAGCTCACAACATATCAAAACAACTTACTTTATTACATATCAAAAAGTCTGTCATTACTTTTTGTGTTTATTCTTATATTATAAGCAGAAACACACTTACTTGCCCAGAAAACTGTGTAAAATAATTTTTTAGTAACACTTTACTTGAACCCTCCTACATAACACTGACATAACCATGTCATAAACGTGTCATGGCAGATGTCACTGTTCAGTGATGTGTCGTTACCATTACTATTAATTGTTATGACAGATGTCATAATGTTTGATGTCACAAGAGCTTATGTCACATGCAAATTTCTGCTAAGTGTACTCTAATTAGATATCATGACATCAAAAATCTGTCATAATACCTCATGATTTTGTATGAACCTGCCATGCCATGCTTATGTCAATGTTATGTAGCAGGGTTCAAGTAAAGTGTCATCTAGTTTTCTTTGCTAGTCTCAGACTTCTGCTGTATGCAAAGACTCATACTTCTAATTCTTTCTCTCTCTCTCTCTCCCCCTCCATCACTCGCTCGTATTGTCTCTTGTCCTGCCCTGCGGTGTCCTGTCCCCTCAGGGCCTGCGGGACCGTGCGAGTCTGTAGTATTGAGGCTCTATGTGCAGGTAATGGCCGTTTGGCTGCCAGGCTGCTCTCTGAGCCACAAGTTTTAATGAGGCGTCCGGGCCGTGGAGGCAGGGGTCCTGACAGGCAAAGAGCCCCCCACAAGCAGACGAATGCCAAAACAGCCCCTCAGGGAGACAAGTCATTCAAACTGATGGCTACAGATCAGGCACATTCACTTTTTTACAGGCTAATACATCCACCGCCCTCCAACCCCCCCATCTCTCCTTTTTCTCTTTATATCTGAAAAACAATCACCTGCGCCATCACGAGCCCACCATTACCAGCCCCTCCATCACCAGACACAACATAGAACTCATACTAACATTTAAAGCTGTATTGAATTGTGCATTAATGTTATTAACCTTACACAGCTCTCTGTTTGTTTTCTCTTTATCTCTCTTCTATCTCTCCATCTCCTCCATCTCTCCCTCTCTTTCTCATTTCTCTCACTCTATCTCTGATCACTTTCTCTTTTGCCCTCTTTCTCTGTTTTGTCTCTATATCACCCTCTGTCTCACTCTTGCTTTTTCATCTCATTCTCTCTTTCTTTCCTATCTTCTTTTCTCTCTCTCCCTCTTCTTGTCTCTCTCCTTTCATTTCTCATTCCATCTCTGATCACTTCATCTTCTTTCTTTCTCTTTTCTCTCTCTTACTCACTTTGTTTTTTCCTCATTCACTCTCTCGCTCACACTCTCACTCCTGCATACTGTCTGCTCTAGCTCCATCTACCTGTTTCTGTTTTTCTTTTGTTCAGCTGTCAGTATGTCACTCGCTGTCATTCACTCTCTTCCTTTTGTGTGCTGAGCTTCCGTCCTCACTGTCTTCACTGAATTCAAGTCTTTCACTCTTTCCCATCCTCTTTCATTCTTCTTTATTCAGTGTCTTTGTCTCATTCTCTTATTGT